ATGATTGGTTGGTCACTGCTCTATTTGTGTGTGACAAATAAACAAACAGGTAAAAAGCATAAAAAGATGGAGCATTTGTTGGAGACACGAGCTAGTACGCGTTTCTTTACGTGGTTACTTTGTTCCTTTTATTATTTCACCTAACTGTAGGGTATAGTAATTTTGTGGGGAACGAGAAAAAATAGATTCCTATTCACAATCACTACTAGAAAAGTGTTATTTTCTTGCAAATTTTCCTGCAAAAAAATATTCGCAGAAATTTTTTGCGAATTTTCTTGCAAAAAAATATTCGTAGAAATTTTTTGCGAATTTTCCTGTAAAAAAATATTCATAGAAATTTTTTGCGAATTTATTTGCGAAAAATAATTTATAGATATTTCCTATAAATTTTGCTACAATTTTAATAATCGTAGAAATTTTTTTCCATGGTAATAAAAATTTGCAGAAAATATTGTAAGAATTTTATTTTGTTTCTTGCAGATTTTCTTGCAAAAATAAATTCGCAAGTAATGTTTACTAAATGGTAGAAAAATTTTGCAGGTAACTTTTCTTGCGAATTTTCCTGCAAATTTTAATTCGCAAGAAAAATTTAAAAAAAAATTAAATTTATAAGTTTAATATTTTAAAAAAAACTTCAAGTCCCACATCGATTGAAAATAAAGCAATTAAAGAGTATATAAGTTGCGGACCATATCAATTGACATTTTTCAAAAAAGATATTACAACTTAATTTAGAGATAGAAATAATAATAAAAAAGAAGACAAAGACAAAAGGAAGATATATAGTTCGAAATGATTAGGAAATTAAATAAAGTTTTTGGTAGACATGATGGACTCGAATATATGCATCCACCTAAACTCATTTGAACTTTGATGAATTTTATGTTTTCAAAGGAAAAATTATTAGAAGATCTTAAATCACATGGTCCATAATTAGATTTTATATAATATGTAATTAAATGTAATTATTATTTTCTTAAAATTTAAAAAACTTAAATACATATCATCATATATTAATTAGTTACAATCATAAATATTTAATAATCTTGAATTATCTAATAATTTTTTCAAAGTCGAGATTGGAGTTTACCTAATTGTCAAAGTCAAGGATAAGAGTAAGACAATACATTTAAATGCGTGTGTTTGTTGCATTACAAGTGTTGTTGTTTTGATCCCCACTCTTTCTCACTTCCTTTGCGGTCTGTATGAGCCTTATCTCATCACTTTGCTTTTACAAAATCATATCACCTCACCAAAATCAAACAATTTTGATTTGTTAACTAAGTAAATCGATCAAGTTGCAACCATGAGAACCCTTCATTGTGCATTAATTGTTTTTGCAACATTTTTTTGGAGTTACTGTGAATTGTTTCTGTAGTGCATTTTTGAATTTAAAACATATAATATCCTTTTTTGCAAGTGCACTTCAACTTATGCCAAAAGAATGTGATTTATTTCGTATTATCTCTCTTCTTAAGATCTTAATTAGGCATTTGAAGCCCAACAATCTTAGTTCTTTTAAAATTTATTATTCGTAAATGATATACACATCTTCCACTTTTTAATAAGTACCGACTTTTGTTAAATACACTTTTTTAAATTAATAAACTATTTTATATTCTTTTTTTTTTATTGTCTAAATATCCCTTTTATGAAAAATATTTTTTTTAGAAAAAAATATTTTTATAAATTACTTTATAAAAAACAAAAAGTTCACTTCAAAAAAGTACTTCTCAAAAATATATATTTTTGCTTTTGAAAAATACTTCTTGAAATTATAACAACATAACTTCAAACACCACAAAAACAGCATACATAGAGCAAACATGTTTAATGAAAGTACTACAAGAAACTCTTCATGGTTGGACACTCCAAGAACAGTCATGGTTTTGAGTCCACAAGGAAGAACCCCTTTACTTTAGCTTCACAAATGTAAGAGATGAGAAAAGGATGGAAGTTTGGATGGTGACTTGGTGTGCCAAAGTGGTTGCATGCACAAGGAGCTAAACAAAGCACACACTATATAAAATAATTAAACAAAGCACTATAGCAATATTCTTTAAATAAACTACTACATGTAGATTTAATTATTACTAACTCAAGGAGAACAATTTCAACCAATCAAATACCATAATTTAATTTCAAGAAATTAATATTGCAAAAAAAAAAAAAAATCTTAATACTTATCACTAAAAATTATTTTATTAATTATAATTATCTTTTATAATTATTAAAAAGTGTAAATATAAATTAAAGTGATATATATTAATAAATTTTATTTAAAATTAACACATTAAAATTATGTATAAATATACGTCAAATAAATTTATACTTAAATATTATATATATCACTACTAGAAAAGTGTTATTTTCTTGCAAATTTTCCTGCAAAAAAATATTCGCAGAAATTTTTTGCGAATTTTCTTGCAAAAAAATATTCGTAGAAATTTTTTGCGAATTTTCCTGTAAAAAAATATTCATAGAAATTTTTTGCGAATTTATTTGCGAAAAATAATTTATAGATATTTCCTATAAATTTTGCTACAATTTTAATAATCGTAGAAATTTTTTTCCATGGTAATAAAAATTTGCAGAAAATATTGTAAGAATTTTATTTTGTTTCTTGCAGATTTTCTTGCAAAAATAAATTCGCAAGTAATGTTTACTAAATGGTAGAAAAATTTTGCAGGTAACTTTTCTTGCGAATTTTCCTGCAAATTTTAATTCGCAAGAAAAATTTAAAAAAAAATTAAATTTATAAGTTTAATATTTTAAAAAAAACTTCAAGTCCCACATCGATTGAAAATAAAGCAATTAAAGAGTATATAAGTTGGGGCAACACTTACCTTACAAGTTGACTTATATGGTTGAGTGTTAGGCTTATAATCTACAATCTTAGAATTTAAAAGATTATGTATCACATTCACATGTTGGAGGCATGGAAACAAATTCTTCGGATGAATTCATTGTGAGCATTTGAAAGTTGAAAAATTATTGATAGAATTTATAGTAATTTAAAAAATATTCTTGCAAAATTTCTTGCAAAAAAAATTCGCAGGAAACTTTCCTGCGAATTTTCCTACGAATTTTTTTTTGCAGGAAACTTTCCTGCAAATTTTTTTTTGCAGGAAAGTTTCCTGCGAATTTTTTCGCAAGAAATTTCGCAGGAAAATTTCCTGCGAATTTTAAAATTCGCAAAAAAATATTATCCACGAAGGTATTACCTGCAGATAAAATTTCGCAGGAAAATTTGCAAGAACAACGTTTCCTGCGAATTTTTATGAAAAATTCGCAAGAAAAGTCGCATGTAATAAGAGAAATTCTAGTAGTGTATATATATATATATGTATATATATATTTTGACATTCATTATAGTGTAACTATGAAAAAAAAACGCATAATGGAGGGAAATTTTAGGTTGTTATAGACACGTTTTATGTTTTGAGATAATTAGTAGAATACTATTGCCCATAATATTATAGCTTGAATTAACAGTTTAATTTAAAAGTATTTAATAAACTAAAATAAAACATTCCTTTTTAATTAAGCTTTATTTTAATTAACTTTTTTTCATCTATAAAGCTCTCAATAACGAGCACTACTAATTAATTATTTAAAATAATTAATTATAACAATCAATACTTTGAACAGTTTCTTTTAATTAAATAAAGTACCAATACAGGTTAATCAGTTTCGTTTAGCCTCTGATTAAAGATATTATAACTAACATGAGAAGATGAATAATTACAACATACATATTATTATCTTAATATATATACTAATATTAAAATGTTATGAACTTATGATATTAACTATTAATAATTTCATAAAAATTATTAAATAATGATTACAAATTAATTAATAACTATATTTACAACAAATATATTCCAATTAAATCGTAAAATAATTGCACATTAACTATTAATAATTTCATAAGCATTATTAAATAATGATTATAAATTAATAACTATATTTACAAAAAACTAATTCCAATTAAATTGTAAATGAATTGCTCATCTACGTATTTACTGTGTTATAATTTTTAGGGTATTACAATTAATGTATGAATTATAATTTTTTTAAAACATTTTTTCTCATTTGATATAGGGGCAGATTCACAATAATGTGTAAATTATAATTTAAAAAAATACAAAAATAAAAATATTTTTACCAATGTGGCATAATATTAAGAGTATGTTTAGTAAGATATTTCAGGATTTTTGACTAATTTATAAGTTAATTTATAATCAAAATAAATTTATTTGTTACATGAATTTATATGAGTTTATTTTGAAAGTTAATAGTTTATTTTAATAAGTTAATAACTTATAACTTATAAAGTTTTTTTTTTATATCTTTCTTAATTTACTTAAATCCTTATTTTACTCATTTTAATTTAAAATTTATTTATTTTTATCTATTCTATCATTTTTTCGCTCTTGTTATAAAAATTATTTTAACTCGTTTCATTTAATAATAACTAACTTATTAGCTAATAGTTAATTTTAAAATAAAAATATGTTACATATAAATTATATTTTATATTTATACTAATTAATTTATATTTTAATACAAAAGTATTTTTAATTATTAATAATTTTGAAAAATATTAAAATTTAATATAAAACTAAAAGTATAAAGAAAAATTAAAATGAGAAGATGGAAAAGTTCTTAATATTTTTTTAAAAAAATTAATTGAAAACACTCTTGTTGTAAAATAGCACTAAAATACTACATATAATTATTCTGATTTATACATGTAGAGAAATTAAACAAATCAGGTCAGTTTGATGTATTCTAGAGAAATCTTAACCATCAAGTTTTCTGTTTTTTCTCTTTGTCCTTGTCATCTCTTAAATGAATGGACGAAATGGTAACGAAATGAATGGACGAAATGGTAACGATGAAAAAAACTTTTTTGGACCAACTTTTGTCTTCTTCTATGGTCTTGCCTGCAGTGACAAACTTTGGATATTCCTATCTATTCCACACAAATTATTCTTTTTATTAATGTAATCCAAATATGAGTTCAATTTCTACGTAAAGATTTAACTTGGAGAGTTGTGTGGCACAGCTAGCATAGTTTTTTCCACAGAAATTTTGTTTTGCTCCTTCATTATTATTTATCACCTTTCCCGTTTTCTTTGCCCACAGAGAGAAAAATGGAAGCAGCATGGACCATAATTCTGACACTTATTCTGATAGTACTTGTTCTGATATGCACATGGAGAGTGCTGAACTGGTTATGGCTGAGACCAAAGAGACTCGAAAGGCTTCTGAGAGAGCAAGGCCTTCAAGGCAATCCATATAGGCTTTTCTTTGGAGACTCCAAAGATGTTCTCAACATGAGAAAAGAAGCCTTATCCAAACCCATGAATCTCTCGGATGACATAGTGCCACGTGTGTCTTCCTATGACCAGCACTCTGTTAACAAACATGGTATGTTTGTTTATTTATGCATGATTCTACTCTTGTTAGTTGCAAATTTCATCTGTTAATACACTTTATAATTTTGATAATTCATGTATCATGTTCATGCACCCTTTTTCTAGTTTTCTTTGTAGTGACTCCGTTTACAGTTCCTATGCAGTGTTCTTGTGTTTGTTTAGTTTATTTAGAGTTCCGATGGTATATATGCAGGCAAGAATTCTTTTATCTGGCTTGGACCAACACCAAGGGTGACCCTCTTAGATCCGGAGCAAATCAAAGATGTATTTAACAAGATCAATGACTTCCCAAAGCCTGATTCGAATCCACTTGTCAAGTTACTAGCTACTGGTGTTGCAGGCTATGAGGGAGAAAAGTGGAGCAAGCACAGAAGAATAATCAACCCCGCTTTCAATTTAGAAAAGTTGAAGGTTAGTTTTTGGTCTTTGCCAGATATACATCTTACATAAAAGATTTGTCTGCTGTTTGAAAACATGCCAAAGAAAAAAGGCTAGGGAATTGGATTTTGTGTATGCATATTTACTCTCCTTAGAAATGCAACATAGGTTGTTTGGCTTGCAACATATACTTTTGCAAGCAACATAGGTTTGGTTTATAAGCAACACGTGTTGAAGCAATGTTTCTGTAGTAAGTTTAAAGAGGGAATTTTAACTCCTAGTTATTCATTTCCTTGTACACCACAGATTATGTTACCTCTATTCTTCAAAAGTTGCAATGATCTGGTTAGCGAATGGGAAGGAATGTTGTCTTCAAACGGATCATGTGAAATGGATGCATGGCCTTTTCTTCAGAATCTGGCTAGTGATGTCATTGCTCGATCAGCATTTGGAAGTAGCTACGAAGAAGGAAGAAGAATATTTCAGCTACTAAGAGAGCAAGCTGAACTTTTAATGAAAGTTCTATTGAAAATTCAAATCCCTGGATGGAGGTAACTTGTCAGAAATATTTTGTGAAAAATATAGAAAAATTGGATCTTGCAACAAATGAAAATTTAAATTAATGATGAAAAATTATCATTATAATTATCAATGTTAAAATTTATAAAAGAGGATGTCTATGTATAAACTTATAATCAATTTAATTTTTTTTACAAATTTCATTTACTAACAATTTTATTTGTTGAGATTATATTAAATAATTAAAAATAAAATATAAAAATAAAACTGTAACAATAATAAATATCTTATCTAAAATTTATACAAAATTCAAAATTTAAATAAAGAAAAATATCATAAATCTAACACTTTTTCTTGAGATTTGTCATGAATATCACAAATTTTAGTTTCATGAATTCCAAAAATTGAGTTTTGAAATGCCATGTCATCAAGTTGTTGCACATCAATTCCTTGACCCAAATCATTGTCATTCAATCTAATTCCTCCTCTTGTCTTTGAGTACCATTTGCTGAGATTTGTCATATCAAATACATCTTACATAAAAGTGTGACCAAATCTTTCATGCCAAACATTACTTTCATCAATTTTAGCAATAAAATCATGATCTTCAACCAAATCAAATTTCAAATAAAACTATTTTTGGTCATTTCAATCTCTGCAATCTCTAAACCATGTTCATCCATGATAAAATAATAATTCTCTTTAAAATAGACTCCGTAACCATTCCTTAGCATTTGTGGAACATACTAAGAATATTTTGATCCAATTTTGAAATGTAGAGAACATCTTTAACAATTATCATACCTTTCTTGGTTGCAATAGAAATTGTTCGTTTTTCATTGGCTTGTACAATTTCACCATTTTCCATCTTGACTTTCGACTCAATTGATTTGTCAATGGAGGTAAAAAATGATAAACATTTAGTCATGTGACTAGTGCAACCACTGTTAATGAGTAAGGTATTCAATTCACGTGAATTGAATTCTTGAGATGCCATAAATAAATACTTATCTTCATCATCATTTTTTTCTTCAATCATATTTACCTATTTTTCTAGTTATTGTTCAGGCTGATTCTTCTTTAATCTGCAATACTTTTCACTATGACCATTTTTATTGCAAAAATTACCGTGAAAATGTGGTTTATCTTTAAACCAACAATCTTCTTTAAAATGGTTGGTTATTTGGCAATGAAAACAAGGCAAAAAATTTCCTTTTCTCAAAGAACCTTCAACTTTTCTTTTGTTCTTATTGAAAGTTTGTGACTTTCCAAAATTCCTTCCATTGTGCTTTGCTCAAAAGACACCTTCAACAGCTTCATCATGTCTAATGGAGACTCTTTGCTCTTGTGCGTGAAGCTTGTTGGTCAATTTAGTAATTGCGAGAGTTTGCAAATCAGAAGACTCTTCAATTGTAGAAATCTTGGCTTCAAATCTTTCAAGCACCGAAATCATGATTTTTTCGACAACCTTTTAATTTGTAAATGATGTTTCATGTAACGACCTGCCATGGCCGTCACACTACGAACAACACTACACACTACTAAAATATATATACTAAAATAGTATAATAAAATATTTACAACACAAGTTGCTAATCAAGCAACCAACGACAACGGATTATATACAACAAAATATGCTTCTATAAGGTAGCCTACAAAAAAAAAATCCATCTCCAGGCACCTCCTGTGGCCTCTAGCAGCTATCTCTAATCTATCCCTGCTCTGCTCCCATACAATGTATGATCATCGCAGTCCAAACCACATGGAAACATGCAAGGGTAAGCTAGAGATAATAAACAACTCATAATAATTTAATATGCAACATAACAATTATATAATCATCTTCGCATTTGACACATGAGACAAAGAACATATATACTATACATCTTAACATCATTTCAACTTACAACATAGCAACACTATCATCATCCTCAACAAGGTCAACATACAACATAATCACAGCTTAACAACACAACAACAATTATACAACTCATATCAACAACAAATCAACTCATCAATAACTTATGCGTCGTTACGCATTTCAACTCGGAGATCTCCAATAACTGAGGTTGAGCAGTCTAGGTGGCATAAACCCTACCGAATCCAACGTTTGACCTATCTTAACCAGGTCAGGTATAAAACAACGATAGGAACTCCGAAGAGAGAACCAAGTATAGACAACAATAGGAGATTTCTCAAGTGTGCCACTTAGACTCGGAGGTCCAGTACTACTGTCAGGACAGAAGGGTTTGGGTATGAGCCTACCATGGCCTTGGCTAGCATCACCAATCCACATATGGAGTTAGCCCACCCACTGTCCTCCAAGTTCCACGCACCCTCCAGTACCTAGTCAAGGACTACATCTCTAACTAGATACCTTACTCAAATTGGTCATTCAACCATGACATGGATCGACTATTTCCATGTCGCCCACACAGTATTAAGGGATTCAACTTTAAAATAACTTTCAACTTATCACCTTAGTACTATGTATCTCAACATAGGACATATATCTTCACCATATGCCCACAACTTTCCAACTTTACAACAATAGACACCATAACAACTTTACAACAATAAACATCTGGCCGCTTGTAATCGGTATAGCTCGGCCTGGCCCCTATACCGTGGTCGCTTTATACACGTGTGCCTCGACCTTGCCCACACACGAGATCAACTAAGTCCTAGAGGAGAACAACACAACGTCCACTCCAAGGGACAACTTCCCAAGGAGGGTTTTCAACAAATTGGGCTCTCAGAGCACCACAACTATCTCAATCCGCACAATGGGATGAGCAATTTTGAAAACATCTTCTCTAGTCCTAGTGATCAACAACTTATCATCACAGCTTAATCAACTTACAACTTAAACAACATGCTATATCAGCACAACAACTCATCAACGTTATTTAACAACATAATTTAACAACACAACATCTCATTTCAACTTTAAACAACACAATCAACTCAATCATCATAAAATAATATCTTTTCAACACATGGCACAACATACAACTTTATAGCAACATACAACTCTTCTCTAACAACTTAACAATATTATCATCATGCACTTCACAACATATACATGTCCACACATAACATATAGCAATTTTATCAACTTAATTTCAACTAGCTTCAACAATATCATAGATCAACACACAACTTGTAAACAACTTCACAACTTAACTACAACATGCATCTCTAACAACATCATTAATAAATATTTAATCATATATTAGCAACACAATATTTTTATCACATAACACAACTCATACTAATCAACCTAAGTAACCAAATGAGTTCCCAACTCACATACAACCAACAACTTTACAATCTAACTTCCCTTACCTGAAGATTAACTCAGAATAGCCAAGAAGCAGAATTTCCTTTCCGAAGCTCAACCCGGAACTTCAATCCACCCAAAGCAAGCTTCCTAGTCTAGAGTCCTTCTCTCTAAAAACCTCCATTTTCCTCAACTTCCCACAACCTCTATTTATAGAAATCTGAAACGGCCAAAACGACCCGTTTCGAATCCGGAACAGCCCGTTCTAGGCTCCTTCATCATGTGTAAAATTCACATGCAGAACGGCCCGTTCTGAAACCGGAACGGCCCGTTCTGGCACATCTAGAACGACCCGTTCTAAAACCGAAACGGCCCATTCTGGAGTTGAATTTAACTCACAATGACCACTTTGGAACGACCCGTTCCAGTCCAAGATTCATAGGCCTACTTAGTAGTTTGGAACGGCCCGTTCCAGTCTGAGAACCGCCCGTTCTAGGCTACTAAATCACCCTTATTTTAGTAGTTTGGAATGGCCCGTTCCAATCTAGAAACGTCCCTTTCAGTCTACTAAATACGTTACATTTCATCAAGAATTCGCATTTGGTTCACAACATTCATTAATCTGCCAGAACATTCTTTGATAGATTCATTATCCTTCATCTTCATCAATTCAAATTCTCTCTTAAATGTAAGAAACTTAACATATTTGACTTTGCTACGGCCTTCAAATTCATCTTGAATCTTGTCTCACACCTGTTTATGTGTTTCCAAGTCCATGATTTTAGTAAAAATATGATATGCAAGTCATGCATGTAGGCAAGTGATGACTTTATCTTTCTTCAACTTCTACCCCTCATAAGCTTTTATTTGTGCAATGGTTGAATTTTCTCTCAATGGTGGTGGATCAGCTTCAGAAATTACAACATTCCATAAACCTTGAGATCTTAAAACATATTTCATCTTGACAGTCCAAATATGATAATTTTCACCATTAAATATTGGAATTGTAGGTGAACTGGTGGAAGTAGACATCCTTGCACTAGAATTTGTTTGAACAATAAATCACTCAATTTAGTGTTTGCACTCAGCGCCCAATAAATTTTTCCTCACAGCCTGTAAGAAGCAAGCTCTTGATACCACTATTGGAAATATTTTGTGAGAAATATAGAAAAATTGGATCTTAAACAAATGAAAATTAAAATTGATGATGAAAAATTATTAAAATTACTATGTTAAAATTCATAGAAGAGGATGTTTATGTGTAGACTTATAATCAATTTTAAATTCTTTACAAATCTCATCTACTAATAACTCTACTTGTTAAGATTATATTGAATAGCTGAAAATAAAATATAAAAATAAAACTGTAACAATAACAAATATCTTATCTAAAATTTATTCAAAATTCAAAATTCAAATAAAAAAATCTCATAAATCTAACATAACTAATATGTAATTATTTGATTTGTGGACTAAAGCAAGATCAAGCTTATTAAATGAGTTTTGTTTCTAACCATATATTTCATAGACCTACACTAAGATGGACCACTTGTCCAACTAATCTACCGTGAACCATGATTTTTATATGTGAGATTAATCTAAAATTTATATTGTTATGGTACACCTTCGGCATGGTATCATTACCATTTCTTTTTTCCTTTTGTCACCATCCCCTGCTTCGGTGCTACTCCCTCATTCAACACTGCCAGAAACGATTTCAAACTTTTTCACTTCTTTTTGGTTTTTGATGTTTTGTTTTTCACTTCTTTCGACAATTTCTAGCCGGGCAGCGACGAGGTAATAGAGCGCACAAGTGCAGGCTGCAATGCTGCAACGGAGACGTGCGAGTTCAGGCCAAGATGCCGTAAAGAAAAATGTGAATCATGCTGGGATACAAACAAAGTTTCACATTGATAAAATAAAAGAAGAATAATAGTTTATAAAATACACACATACTTCAATGATTGAAAAATCTTTTGAGTGATAAACAAAAAATAAAATCATAAGGTTTTAGATCTAAAACGGATAATATCTTACCATTATAAAGTGTGTGAAATAATGTTATAAAAATAACAAGTTATAACCCTTTTCTCTTAATATAAATATCTCCTTAAACAAATACCAATCCTACATGGATAAAATAAGAGAAGAAATAATAGTTTAGTACACACATACTCCAATGATTGAAAAATCTTTTGTTTGATAAGCAAAAACAAAATTGTAAGGATATAGACTCAAAATCCTACTAACAATGGTATTAGAGCCGTAACATGAAATGTTAGGTCCCTTATTTGAAAGGTGGACTGTTAGGATACAATTTAGGTCTCACATTTTGAAGGAAAGATTGTTAGGATATAAATAAGGTCTTACATCGAGAAAACAAGAAAAAAAATAAATGTATTAAGAAAAGTGTATTAAAGAGTGTATTACTAACATTCTTTGTATTAAAAAGAGTGTGTTAAAGAGTGTATTACTAATTAACATTCTTTAATTATAATTCATGGTGAAATTGATAGCATGTAAGATTTTATCATTATGAATCTTTGTGCATATACTATGCTCATTCATATACTATTATTGGGTGGCTAGAAGATATCTTCTACCTCATTTACGGCTTACATTAGCAAAATTCTAATTGTTAGATAACCGAATTATGTTAATCAATAAATCTATTAGAAGTGCAATTGAGTTGGGAAAAAGCATCCTCTTCATATTATAACAATTATTGTATGGAAAAATGTATATTTGTAGGTTTCTACCTACCAATACCCATAGGAGGATGAAGGAAATTGACAAAGATATAAAAGCTTCACTCAAGGATATGATTAACAAGAGGGAGAAAGCACTAAAGGCGGGTGAAGCCACTAAGAATGACCTATTAGGTATACTTTTGGAGTCAAATCACAAGGAAATTGAAGAACACGGAAACAATAAGAATGTTGGAATGAGTCTTAAAGAAGTAATCGAGGAATGCAAGCTATTCTACTTTGCAGGGCAAGAAACCACTTCAGTTTTGCTTGTTTGGACGATGGTGTTGTTGAGTAGGTACCCTGATTGGCAAACACGTGCAAGAGAGGAAGTCTTGCAAGTCTTTGGGAACCAAAAACCAGATTTTGATGGACTAAGTCGCCTAAAGATTGTAAGTATTGTTTCAAATAATAGGTTATTTCTTTAATATGTCTCACCATCACATCATTTATTATATTTATTAATAATTGGTATAGATAATAAGCATATAAAATAATGTTGTAGAAGTTGTTATATGAATTGTTGCATGTGTATCATTCATTATTCATAGATTATTATCTTAATACTAAATAGTATGCTCTCTATACTAACTACAATTTTTTTTAACAGGTGACTATGATTTTGTACGAGGTTCTTAGATTATACTCACCGGTACTTGGGCTTACTCGATCTGTTAAAAAAGATATTAAACTTGGAAACCTAACATTACCTGCTGGGGTGCATGTTTTTCTCCCAACAATGTTGATTCACCATGACTGTGAATTATGGGGTGAAGATGCTAAGCAGTTCAATCCTGAGAGATTTTCCGAAGGAATTTTAAAAGCAACAAATGGTAGAGTTTCGTTTTTTCCATTCGGATGGGGTCCTAGAATATGCATTGGACAAAACTTTTCCTTATTGGAAGCAAAGATGGCTTTGTCTATGATTTTACAGAATTTCTCGTTTGAACTTTCTCCAGCATATGCTCATGCTCCAACTATGGAAATTACTCTACATCCACAGTATGGTGCTCATATCATTCTACGCAAAGTGAATAAATGAAATGAAATAGTAGGCTCTTATTGTATAATTTTATTATACAACTACAGTAAAGCTTATAATGTAATTACAAAACCACTTCTTATCTTATAGATAATATCATATGTTTATGATAAATAAAATAAATACTATCATAATATGTTTACCTTCGTTTACATATTTGTGCGTGCTAATAGTTGATTTGTTACTTTATTCATTCTAAACTATGCACCAAAATAAGATATTTTAAAGGTTGTTGTCTTAAGATTGAAAGTTCAAATGCTCAAACTCTTGTCATTTGTTTAGTTTTTTGTGAGCTTTATTGATGAACATGTTGCTTAGAAGTTTTTTTTTATTAATCAAAATTAATGAAAACACACAAATTCAAATATAAGATTTTGTATATATTCATCTTATGTTCATCACTAGATTCACCCTACAAGATGTCTTATCTTGACTGCACGCTCTGGGGTAACTATTTCATGTCCAAACCCCATTTCATAGATATATATAAGGCAAACTAATTAAAAAAGAAAAAAAATTGAAAGGATAAAGCTGGAAGAAACTAGAAATCAGAGTCACGTGTTAATTGCAGGCAGCATTAAATGAAACCTCTTGGAGTCTTGTTTCTTCAACTTTCCCTTTTTGTTTCCTGCCCCCACAAAACTCGGACGCAAAAAAATGGAAGCTGCATTGGTCACAATTCTGATTCTGATACTTGTTCTGATATGCACATGGAAGGTGTTAAACTGGTTATGGCTGAGGCCGAAGAGACTCGAAAGGCTTCTGAGAGAGCAAGGCCTTCATGGCAATCCTTACAAGCTTCTGGTTGGAGACATGAAGGAGATTGCCAAGATGCGAAGTGAAGCCTTATCCAAACCCATTAATCTCTCTCATGACATAGTGCCTCGTGTGCTTCCCTTTGACCAACATATATTGTGAACAAACATGGTATGTTTATGATTCCTTTCACATGTTTTCGTGACATGCATTTATAAGTTTTTTTTAGTAAATTACATTAGTTCCTTACTTAGGAAGTGGATCAAATTCAACCTTAAGTCATGGGTTGAAATAGATAAGGGGCTTTTACTTTTTTTTTTCTTTTTTTTTTTCCTTCAGGAAAAGCAAACAATTGTGTTCATATTTCAACGAAGAATAGAAATAAAAAAAAATATTTGTAATAAAAAATAGGTAACAGTATAATTTCATTAAAAAATGGAACTCTCAATTCTAATTTTGAGAATTTATTATTATTATTTTAATGAATTCAAATAAAGTAGAAAAGGAAATTCTGATTAAAAAGTGGAAAATCGAAAAAATAAAAAAAAGATCAACAAAATGTAAGTGAATCTAACACATTGAAGCGAGGTTTCACGATATTATATATAAATCTCTTACTTTTTCTTCTTAGGTTGATTCCCTTTGGTTGTCTAAGAAACATGACACTATCATTGTAGAAAAACTAAGAGAGACGAGTAACACTAAAATTGTGGGTGATCGTAGCAACTCACTGTAATTTTTATTGAATAAGAGATGGCCTTTAAATAGCCATTGTACAACGTACTGAATTAACAAGAAGATAATAAAATATCTTATCAAATCAAAACTTACCAAAAAACTATCTTATCTAATCTGAAACCAAATAACTCAAAATCAAATAATTCCAGATAACTAAATCGGATATCCCGGATATCTTGGATATCTCGAATATCTCGGATATCTCGGATATCTCTAGAAATTTAAGATTATCCAACAAAACTCCCCCATAATCTTAAATTTCTCCTTCTTCTTTCATTTCGATGCTTCTTCCACCAGAGCGCGATACTCCTCTGTGTACCATGGCCCCGCGAGCCATGCAACGTCCAGCACCCCCTGCGTCGAGGTGGCCGATGCCTCTTTTGGGACACAAAAATACCCGTTGCTCTTTGGTCCACCTTTAAACCCAGAAAGTACTTCATGATGTCCAAATCGGTCATCACAAACTCCCTCTTCACTTCTTTAAACTCCTCAACTAGCTCAGCTTTACTTCCCATCTCACTCTTCTCAATTGATCCGATCTCCTCATCCGTTGCTTTCTTCCATCTTTCATCAAGTACCACCTCTTCAGATTTTATGTCTTCTGTTCTTGTCAATAGACATACTACATGTAACTCGTCAGTGGAGTTGTAGATGTCTTGCAAGCTCCGAGTTCTAAGTTGCTCAGGTTCATCATCTTCCTCGGAATGCTCATTGGTCCTATCCGAGCTTCTCCCTATTATCTCCGAGTTCTCCCTTTCAGAGTTCGAGCTCCCCGAGGTCGTTTCCGAGTTACTCCAACTCCACTCACTTTCCTCATCTACTTGGACATCTCGGCTTACCAGAATTTTACCTGTAACAGGGTTATACAATTTGTAGGCTTTTGCCTTTTCATCATACCCGATCAAAATGTACTTCTTGCTCCTATCATCAAGCTTCGTTCTGAGCTGAGCTGGAACATGACCGTAAGCAAGGCTTCCAAAGATCTTGAAGTGACGTATACTCGGTTTTTGTCCACTCCATGCTTCTTGAGGTGTCACATCATCCAATTTTGAATGTGGGCACCTGTTCTGTATATATATAGCACACTGTACTGCCTCTGCCCAAAACTTCTCAGGCATATTCTTCCCTTTAAGCATGGTTCGGACCATTTCAAGAATAGTACGATTCTTTCTTTCAGCTACTCCATTTTGTTGTGGTGAATATGGAGCTGTGAGAAGACGCTTTATACCTTGCTCTTCACAGTATTCCATAAACTCTGCCGATGTGAATTCTCCACCTCTGTCCGACCTCAAAGCTTTAATTTGCTTGTTAGTCTCTTTCTCCACCATGACTTTAAACTTCTTAAAAGCTTCAAATGCCTTTGATTTTTCTTGCAAAAAATATACCCAGGTCTTTCGAGAGAAATCATCTATGAAAGAGATGAAATATTTCTTACCACTGAAAGATGCTGGAGAGATTGGTCCACACAAGTCAGTGTGTATCAGCCCAAGTTGCTCCTTCGCTTTGTGCTCGGACGAGCTCGGAAAACTTGTCCTTGTATGCTTTCCAAGTACACACGCTTCACAAAACTTCTTGTCAAACTCAACACCACGTAGTCCGAGTACCAACTCCTTCCTTGATAGCTCGGCCAAGCCTCCAAAGTTTAAATGCCCAAAACGAAAATGCCACATCATGGCTTCATCCTTCACGTCCAGCTTCAAGCACTTATTTTGAAGGATGTTCAGCTCCAGTTTATACATCCTATTCTTTTTCATCTCCACTCGGGCTATCAAACGATCATGCTTGTCCTTCAAATAAAGCACTCGATCCTTCATCAGAACCGAGTTTCCTTTCTCCATCATCTGCCCCATGCTTAAGATGTTATTCTTAAGCTCGGGAACGTAGTAGACATTCCTTATTTCTCCAACTCGTCCATCCTTCTGCATAAACTTGATGGTTCCACGCCCTTTTACCGCCACCTTGGAATCATCCCCAAATGACACGAATCCAGCCTTTACCTTGATGAGTTCATTGAAGAAACTTTCTTCTCCACACATATGATTGCTCGCTCCAGTGTCCAAATACCAGATCGAGTTGTTTAGGCAACTCGAATCAAGCTCGGCTTCTGACTTCTCATATGAGCTTGGAGGCTCAATTGTTGATCTCTCGACGCAACTCAAGTTTAGCTGGACCTCGGAGGCAGAACTCGGACGTAGCTTGGTCTCCGAGCTCTGCGTCATCATCAAAATTCCTGCTTCCTCGTCCTCTTCTTCTGTGAGAAGATTCTTCCCTTTTTCTTCACTTCGGCTTTTAGCTCGGCAATACTTTGCTATGTGACCGTATTTGCCACAGTTGTAGCAATTTGCCGATCTGCATTCCTTTGCGTAGTGGCCGAGTTTGCCACACTTATAACATTCCACCTCGGACCTCGGCTGACTTCCTTGGCTACGATCACCTCGTCCTTGTCCACCTCCATGGTCACCTCGTCCTCGACCTCGTCCTTGATCACCTCCATGATCACCTCGTCCTTTGCCTCGTCCTCCATGATCACCTCGTCCTTGTCCTCCTGATCTTCGGCCCTGAGTGTTCCGAGTTTCATTCAAATCAAGTTGCGCCTGTAATGCTTGATCAAGAGTATTCTTCATCTTCCTCCTCCTTTGTTCGTGGGCTTCGAGTGACCCAGCGAGCTCTTCCACTGAGAGAACTGACAAGTCCTTTGACTCCTCAATTACGCATGCAATACTCTCGAAATCATCTGTTAATGATCTCAAGATTTTCTCCACAATTCTACTTGCTGGCATTGGCTCCCCATTCCTTCCTAGTTGGTTAGCCACCTTCTCCACCCGAGTTATGTACTCGGATACTTGTTCCTTATCCTCCATCTTCAAACTCTCAAACTCTCCTCGGAGAGTTTGAAGTCGGATCTGTCTGACACGGTGGTTACCTCTGTGCGCAACCTCTAAGATCTTCCATGCTTCCTTTGAAGATGCAGCGTTTGCAATCTTCTCGAAACCTGACTCATCCACGGCATTGTACAAAAAATACAAAGCCGATTTGTCCTTCACTCGTGTCTTTTCCAATGTGGCAATCTGAGCCACAGATTGGTCTTCGTCCTCCTCGGGTTCTTGGAACCCCTTCTCCACTATGTCCCATAGACTTTGGGAACCCAACAGGGTCTTCATTTGTAAACACCAATTATCATAATTGGTTTTCTTTGACAGTTGTGGTACGGTCATTCCATTCACAACCTTTGCCATTACTCTCTCTTTCTTCTTTCTTCCCCCTTCACAGGCGCACACTGTTTTCCTCTCACACTCGGCACTCAGAGCATATAGCTCTGATACCAATTTGTAGAAAAACTAAGAGAGACGAGTAACACTAAAATTGTGGGTGATCGTAGCAACTCACTGTGATTTTTATTGAATAAGAGATGGCCTTTAAATAGCCATTGTACAACGTACTGAATTAACAAGAAGATAATAAAATATCTTATCAAATCAAAACTTACCAAAAAACTATCTTATCTAATCTGAAACAAAATAACTCAAAATCAAATAATTCCAGATAACTAAATCGGATATCCCGGATATCTTGGATATCTCGAATATCTCGGATATCTCGGATATCTCTAGAAATTTAAGATTATCCAACAATCATTTCTTAACTATCACATTATTTTTAATTATTTAAAAAATATTATATCATGTCCCTATATAAAGAATGTTGTTGTAAACATTAAGAAAGTAAAGAGTTATGTTTAATTTTACGAAATCTTTTTAAGTGTTTAGTGTAATTTATTCTTAATTTTTTTCTCTACATACATATATGCAATGATTTACTTAAGGATGATCCTTAGAAAATACATACACTTTAAGATGTGTAGTGTGTACCAAAAAAGGTTACCGTGATTTGTAATTCAAGTCAAATTCAAATAGTACAAAGATAAAGTTGCCATTTCTTTTCAATTACTAAAGCATTTCACTTTCTTTTTTAGATATTTAATTTAAGCCTTATTTTTATTGTTTTGTTGATGGTATGCAGGCACAAATTGTTTTATCTGGATGGGACCATCACCAAGGTTGACCATCACAGATCCTGATCTAATCAGAGATGTATTCAACAAAATTAATGATTTCAATAAGCCTGCACTAGTGCAAAAATTGGATTTAAAATCGGAGTTTTAAGATCGGTTACCTTGTAACCGATCTTAAAAGTGTCGCGGTGGCAATTTTGTAAATAATATGACACTTTTAAGATCGGTTCAAATTTAACCGATCTTAAAAGTACTTTTAAGATCGGTTATTTTATGACCGATCTTAAAAGGTATACATTTAAAATCGGTTCAAATATAACCGATTTTAAAAAGTATTTTTAAAATCAGTTACATTTTAACTGATTTTAAATCATGTCTTTTTTATTACTTTTAAAATCGGTTATAAAGAAACCGATTTTGTATACAACATTCAAAATCGGTTTCCTGGATAACCGATCTTAAAACGATAATCGATTTTCCTTTCTATGTTCCCTTTTACGTTTCTTTTAATATAATTTATATATTCAAACATAAAATTTATTTGTATATATGTAATTTATTATAAATTTTAATTATATAATAAATATTTAATATATGCATTGCACATGCTAAAATATTAGTAAAGAATATATATCCAAACATTTATATAATAAAAAAAACACAAATATAGAATTTAAAAGTCAACAAAAATTTAATACAAAAAATAACATAAAATGTTAGAGAGAAAAAAATCTACAACCAAATACTACTACGGAAAAAAAAAAAAGGACATGTGTTATTCATGTTGAGCTACTTAACGATGTAATGTTCATGAAATATATGAAAATAAGGATGTAATATACATATTATTTTTTATCCAATCAAAAGGTCTTCAAGACATATAGAACATTCTAAGGATTGATATGTTTTTTCTTTAATTATGACCATTTCAAGATTTTTTATAAAGTGTTGATTTGAAGACTTTGTTCTAAAAACCTCATCATTGTTCTCCATGTCATCATAGTTGTAACCCAAGTTCATGAAATAGAACATATAATCATTTTCAATTGATTTTAGAACTCCACCATTGTTTTCTATATTATTGTGACTCATGTTCATAAAATCAAAGATATAAGCATCGTCTTGAATTGATCTAAAAACTCTAACATTATTTTTCATATTGTTGTGACCTAAGTTTATACAATCAAAGATGTAAGCATTATCTTGAATTGATATGAAAATTCCACCATTATTTTTTCATATTATCGTGACCTAAGTTAATACAATCAAAGATGTAAGTATCATCTTGAATTGATCTGAAAAACTCCACCAGTGTTTTCCATATTGTTGTGAACCAAGTCCATGGAATCAAAGATATAAGCATCATCTTGATTTGATCTAAAAATTCCACCATTGTTTTTCATATTGTTGTGACCTAAGTTCATGGAAACAAAGATGTAAGCATCATCTTGAATCAATCTAAAAACTCCATCATTGTTTCATATTGTTGTGACTAAAGTTCATGGAATCAAAGATGTAAGCATCATCTTGAATCAATCTAAAAACTCCACCATTGTTTCCATATTGTTGTGATCCAAGTTCATGGAATCAAAGATGTAAGCTTCATCTTGAATTGATTTGAAAACTCCATCATTGTTTTTCATGTTATTATTGTGACTCAAGTATGTGGAATCAAATATATAAATATCATCTTCAATTAATTTGAAAACTCCCCAATTATTCTCCATATTGTTATAATCCAAGTTGATAGAATCAAAGATGCAAACATCATCTTTAATTGTTATGAAAATTTCACCATTATTTTCTATGTTATTGTGACCCATGTTAATGTCATCAAAAATATAAACACCATCTTCGATTAATCTTAAAATTTCACCATTGTTCTCCATGTTAATATGATTGAATAATAAGGAATCATAAATCCTATTATCCACAAATGAAAAGTGCACCATCACTTTAACAACACATATACACAATCGGAGCCAAGTTAGAAATTGCAATAATATTAACAGAACATTACTCATGAAACAAAATCATGTGATAATGGATTAGAAAGACACAATGAAACATAAACATAAGACTATACAATTATTTGATTGGAGAGTTATTTGATTTGATTTGTCGCAGCTTCTTCTTCCAACAGAGAGAATCTTGATTCAACACTCGAATGAAGGTTATGAACTTGTGATACTGCTTAAAGCTTGACTATGACTCGGAAATAACAATATGTATAACCATAGTTTTAAAAACTAGAACGGTCATTAAATCGGTTAGGTATTGGGTTAGTAGGTAAAAGGTTGAATCAGTGGGTCACTAATTGAATCGCATAATCCGGTTTTTATTAATTTTTTTAAAAAGATATTCATGTTAAATATATTTTATACTTATAAATTTTAATAAATACATATCTTATCTTAAATTTCAATTTTTAACTTATTTAAAATTATTTTTAATTTTATTTTGTATAAAGAAATATATATAAAAAAATATAAAAAAATATTAATTTTTTTTTTGTTGAACCGGTTTGATCCACCGGTTCGACCCACCGATTCACTAGTTGAACCGAAAAACTGATCGGTTCACTTCGATTTGAAATGAGT